TTGAGCGAACTTTTGTAATGTAGGCCAGACTCCTCAATCAACAATTGGTATTACAAAATTTTTTCTCATTGGTTTTCTCATCGATCAATCAAATATTGTTTTCAACAATCGTGCGTATGACCATTTTTGTTGTATGAGTCATTGTTTTACGTTCTTTCGTTCTTTCTGCCTTATAATTATTCATACTAACACATTCTTGTTTTAGATTAAGGTAGTTGTTACATTTGTTTGTCAAATGTAAAAGTACTTTGCTATTATACGTCTTATCTATTGGATTCATTAGAAGTTTAATTGTGAGTACTTTTTTGTTATCATATTTATTTTTTTTGACACACAGATAACAGTGACCAGTGTTTGTCTGAATACTAAAAGTTTAAAATTTTCGTTGTTTTTAGATCTTAAAGCCTTAATAATGACCACAGCTATTGAGGTAATAAATTGATTGATTTTCGAAATTGAAATAAATTTGTTTATTTGTAGTGTCGAGATTACCGTAATTTTGCTAATGATACATGCAATTTTATGCGTACTACACCTGATTGTAAATTAGACGGTGGCTTTATAAATTATCTCACATTTGTATTTTGTAATTTTGATGATAAATTAGTTGCTCTTGGTTTAACATTATTAGTAAATATTAAAAATATTTTTTTTTAATAATAATTCCATGTTATTTTAGGCTGGTTGGTTATTAGTTCTATTTATTGGTCTAGGTGTAACTGCTGATTCTTAGTAAATAAATTAATTAGAAAAAATAACCTACTAATCAAACAATTTCTTTTTTTAGTTTTTGTCCTGCTCTTCGTGTTATTGCTCGAGTCCTTAGATTATCAGAAAATATAGCGGTTAGTTTAGTTGTAATATGACAGACTTAATAAGAAATATATATATATATTTTTTTTTTAGGGTGTAACATTTCTTGCATTTGGTAATGGTGCACCGGATATATTTTCTGCTATAGCTGCTGTTGGTAGTTCAAAAGGAGGTGATGTTGGTTTAGCATTTGGTGCACTATTTGGTATTTAAAGAAAAATCTTTTAAATAATTTCAAAAAATATGCATATATATTTTTTGTTCTTAAGGTGCTGGTGTATTTGTAACAACAGTTGTTGCTGGTACGATAGGTATTGCAACACCATTTCGTTCAATACAACGACCATTATTACGTGATATAATATTTTTTATTATTGCTTCGTTTGCTGCTTATGTAGCTATGTATGATGGAAAAATTTATTTGGCAGAAAGTTTAGGTTTTATAATAATGTATGCCGTATATTTAATTATACTAATTGGTGGATATTTTATTAATCGACAACTGAAAGATCGTCGAGCTTTATTACAAGCTGCACATACAGAAGCAGCAGCAAAAACTTATGGATCTATACAAACACCTTTGGATCAATCTGTTGTATCTGTTGATGACACAAATGGTGATGTACCTGATGATAATTATGCACAACCAGATGTTACATTTGCATTATCATTACGTCATGCTTTTTTACCACGAGATGATACACCATGGTCAGAAAGAAGTATAATAAATAAAATTTTTTCAATAATTAAAGTAAGATAGATATTGATTATATACATTTGTTTGATGTGATAGTCGTTGTCTTTTTTTTGTCTAATAGATGCCGGTTGTAATTATTCTTCATTTTACTGTTCCATTAGTTGATTATGATAAACGAGAACATAATTGGAATAAACTTTTAAATTCATTTCATCTTCTTTCGGGTCCATTGACTGTGTCAATTCTAACACGAGGTTAATAAATTTTAATTAAGATATGTAGTTTTAAAAATTGATTTATTTTTATTTTTATAGTGGGTCTTATT